AAGCTGATGTTTCGGGTCAAGACCCTTCTTCAGAAAAAAGGGTCTCGACCTGAAACGGCAGCTTTCCTGCTCCTCTGTTGCTGCTTGACCTGCTGTGTTCATCCAGCTCTACACCTTGTTATGTCAATAATCCAGAGAAAGTTAGTTAAAATCACACCTTGAGAATTTGAATGCAGTTTTTCATTTGAAAAGCTGGCATTGGTAAAAATGAAACAAGAACAGAAATTGCTGGGAAAACTCAGCAGGTCTGGCAGCATCTGTGGAGAGAAATCAGAGTTAACATTTTGGTTCCAGTGACCCTTCCTCAGAACTGATGGTAACTCGGAAAATGTTTGTTTATATGCAGAAGATAGGATGGGGGTCAGGTGTAAGGACTAATCGATAGACAGAGATGGAGCCCAAAGAGAGAGAAGAACATTTGGACAGAGAAGGGAGTGGAAATGAATAGCTGCTAGGGCATTAGAATGTGTATTCACTGAGAATTATGAAACATTTCTTCAAATGTTCACCATTGCTTATTTATCCTCATTCCTCATAGTTGAATTTCTTAATCTACCTTAGTCAACTCACTCCTCATACCACCTACGTAATTAGTTTTATTTAAGCTAAATGCTCTAGTTTTAGACTTGAGGGAGAACAGAGACATATGGTAATGTCACTGGTCAGTAATCCGAATATTTGGATTAATGGTTTGGAATGTGAGTTCAAACCTATTATAGCAGCTCGTAGAGAATTTGAATTCAATCAATTAATATAATGGAATTAAAATCTAGTCTCAAGGTAACGATCAAGCTGCTGGATTGTCCTAAATCCCATCTGGTTCACTAATGCCCCTTAGAGTCTTGCTGCCCTTACCTCATTTGATCTACGTGTGACTCCAGACTCACAGCAATGTAGTTAGTTGTCTCTTAAATGCTCTCTGAAATGGCCTAGCCAGTGACTCAGTTGTAACCAAACCACAGGTGAGCATTTAGAAAGAATAAAACTGGATGAACCACCAGGCTTTGACCTGGGCACTGGAAATGATAGAGGAACAGCCTGCGGTCTAGACCCTGCAAAGACCACCCACCGACATCTGGGAACTTGTGCCAAAAGTGGGAGAGCTGTCCTGCAGAGCAGTCATACAACACCCTGACATGGTCATATTCACTGAATCATACCTCAGTCAAACAGCATCACTGGGTTTAACCTGAGCTGTTGACACAGTGCTACACAGTCTGGATGGAGTTAACCTGAATGCGGTCTACATTGACGCCAGACCCTATGACTTCTCTTGACATCAGGTCAAATAGAGGCATAGAAACCTCCTCCTATCTCCTCCACTCCATCAGCTGATGAATCAGTGCTCTTCCGTATCGAACATTCCTTGGAAGGAGGTAAGGCGCAGGAGTTATTCTGGGGACGGGCTGAGGTCTTCAGTGTCACTATCCAGGCCAGTAATTATTCCCCATCCCTAATTATCCTTGAGCTGCCTTCTTGGACCACTGAAATCTATGTTGCTGTAGGTGTACAATATATTGAGCCAGTGACATTGAAGAATGGTACAAAAAGTTACAAGTCATGGTGGCATATGATTTGGATGGGAGCTTGCAGGTGGTGGTGTTCCTATGTATTATATACCCTTATCCTTCTAGAGATTGCAGTTTTGGAAGGTGCTTTTGAAGGAGTCTTGGTGAGTTGTTCCAATGCACATTGTAGACAGCGTGCACTCAAGTTGGTTGGAGAGGGTGTGCATCTTTATAGTGGTGGATGGGATCTCAGTCATGCTTTGTCCTGGATGGTGTTGAGCTTCCTGAGTATTCTTGTAGGTGTACTCATCCAGGCAGGTGGGGAGCATTCCATCAGACACATGCCTTGTAGATGGTGGGGAAACTTTGGGGAATTGGGGCATGAGTTATTCCATTGAAGAATTCTCAGTCCTTAATCTGCTGTGTAGCCAGGGTTGGGTTAGGGTTGGTTGAGTTTCTGATCAATGGCAAGCTCCAATATGTTGCTAGTGATGAGCTTGCGATGATAAGGTCATCGTATGTCTAGGCGAGATATTTAAGTTTCTCTCTTGTTGGAGATGCTTATTGCCTGGCACTTTAATAGTGCAAATGTTACTTACCACTTATCAGCTCAAGTATTGGATATTGTCCTGATCTTGTTGCAGCTGGACCTTGACAGTTCCAGAGTTTTACAAAATATAACTGATATTGATATGCCATGTATAATACAGCGAACTATTCACTTTTGACCTTATGATGGATAGAGTCTTGCTTATGAAGAAGCTGTAGTTAATACGGACTGAGATACTTCCCTGAGGAATTCCTGTGGCAATGTTCTGTAGCAAGCCACAATCTTTCTTTGTGCTAAGCATGCATCTAGCCTCTGGAATGTTTCCCCCTAATCCCCATTTACTTCATCTCTACAGGGGCTCTTGGTGCCACACTCAGTGAAATGCTGGCTTGAAATAGAAAAAAAAATTTGCTTTATGAGTAAATGCATCTTTTAACCAGCGCCAAATACTTCTCAGAAATGGTTTTGTTCTTTGTCCTTTCAGAGTAGCAGCCGCTACTAAATGCTTGATTGTGAGCTACTTTATAGATTGTAATGGAAACTCTCTGGTGAGTTGTAGTTGTATATCACTGTCAATGTAAAACCTCCCACCACTGGGGGTTTGCTCAACACATGACTCGGTCTGTTGGAGATTAACTGATGGAGTTTGAAAATCAACAATACCGTGATCATTCCAACATGGAGCTACATGAAGGTGACTGACAGCAAGCTTTCCTGATACCACAATGATCGGATGAGATTGTCATTGTAGTGAGGACAGCATTGAACCTTGGCATTGTGTGGCATCCCCTGTCTGCCATCTACTCTCTAGTCTAGTCCTCTCACTACCCCAGTCAGCGGTGTTTACCCCAGTGGTGGGAGTTAACCTCTGTTAACCGCTCAAGGGCTTCCATTGATGGTGGCCAGGAGAGGTGTGGGTGTGGTGGGAGATTGGGGCTGTTGCTATTAACAGTGGGGGATCCTTCCAAGATTTCAATTCTAGTGGAGGCAGGGCTGTTAGACCAACTCCCCAACTAACGTAATGAAGAGCTCTTTCCACCTTCAAACTCAACGCTTCTGGAAGCGGATGATTCCGCCCCTAGTAATGTTATTGAACTGGAAAGGGTGCAGAAAAGATATACAAGGATGTTAGTAGCTCTGGAGGGTTTGAGTTATAAGGAGAGGCTGGATAGGCTGGGACTTTTATCCCTGGAGCATCGGAGGCTGAGGGGTGACCTTATAGAAGCATATAAAATCATGAGGGGCATGGATAGGGTGAAAAGCCAAGGTCTTTTTCCAGGGTAGGGAAGTCCAAAACATGAGGGCATGGGTTTAAGGTGAGAGGGGAAAGATTTAAAAGGGACCTGAGGGAGAACGTTTTCACGCAGAAGGTGGTACATGTATCGAAGGAGCTGCCAGAGGAAGTGGTGAAGGCTGGTACAATTACAACGTTTAAAAGACATTTGGACAAGTACATGAATAGGAAAAGTTTAGAAGGATCTGGGCCAAATACAGGCAAATGGGACTCGTTCAGTTTAGGAAATCTGTTTGGCATGGACAAGTTGGGCCAAAGAGCCTGTTTCCATGCTGTATGACTCTAACTTTCCTGATGATTCTCCCTCCTCACTAAGTTAACTCTGTCAATAATCTCATCAATTTGGTTTTTAGCTGAATTTCACTCCCTCTAGGTGTAACTGTGAGTCATCTGGTGCAATCGAATATCAACTGTCAAATTTAGAATTTCTGTAGTGATTCTCCTGACCTCCCATTGTAACCTGACATGGGACTGATGGGATAACTCCTGTGCCCATCACTGGCATGGGATTGTTCAATGTGTGTTGCTTAAAAAAAAACACATTTGGTTTTGCAAGTTCCCAC